GTGGGTGTTTTTGCACTATTTAAGCCTGTAGTTCTTTTAATCAGAAGCTCAAAGAAATGGGTGCATTCCACATAAGGCATGTTCCTTGTGTTACAAGTCCATGTTTTTTTTTTGTTTGCCTGTAAAAAGGTGCCTGATGTGTATTTCTGAAAAAGCAAAAAAGGAGATCTAACTTTTACTTTCAGTAGTTTGAAAGGATAGTCGTAGGAAACGCGCACCTTGTCAATGATGGCGTATCTCCTACTGTGCTCTTCCTTTTGAGCTCACCGTGGTGTAACGAATGAAGCCTGATAGAGCAACAGGGTTCTGCCTGGCTGTGTGACAAAGTACAGGAGTGCTCCAGCTAAATGCTGATGCTGCTAATTACGGTGGTGTTCAGAGATAGGAGCTTTTCATCTAGGCCTACCTCGTGGCTTTCGTTGCCTTCTAAAAAGGCTCAAACTACATGGAATATTCTACTATAGTGCTGTCTTTAAGGCCATATACATTATAATATTTTTTAAAAATAAATGTGCATCGCTTTTTTTCATTGTGCATCATGGCTTGTGAGGCTGGGTTTTAAAAGCAGCATCTTTTAATCTGTAGTAATGAAGATTCTGAGCATGGAATGAGTGAGTATCATTTAGTTCTCTGCAAATACTCAGACTGCTGTACTGAGCTACAGTCCAGACCTCAATATTTGCTAGTGTTGAATTAGTCTAACACTTGGCAGCTGACACAGTTCAGGGAATCAAGAATGTATTTGTGGTCAGCTGTGGCTCTCATCTGGTGACACATCTCTGGCTCTAAAAGCAGATCTAGTGTGCCAGGTTGAGAATTCACCTGCATCTGGATGGTGAAGTTATTTGTGCTCCAGTACTTGAGGCTTTGAAGCACTTTAAGGTCTGCTGTCGGTGATGCATCTTGGCAAATGAACAGCAATGCACTGGCACCAGCTCACAGACCTGTTTTACTGGAGTGGGTGAAAATCTGGGAGTTCCCTTTTCAAAGTATGAAATCCCAGTGCTCAGGCAGATGAGCAAAGTGAGTTTGGGGCAATCTTCTAAAGCAGTTCTTTTCATCGTGTTCTTTGCTTCTTCCAGCTATATAAATGTAGCAATGTCCTGCAAATAAATTAATTTTTAAGACCTTTTTGGTGCTCAAAGGATTTTTGTAATTCCATGATGAGTTTTCCACATTTTGCATTTTTGGGAAAACCGCTGTCTGCTTTCTTCACGTTTCCTAAGTGATGACTGGGTTTATACTGCTAGTGAGTATAATGGCAGAAAGAAAATCTCCTTACCAGACTAGAGTCAAGATAAGTCTCTGTTATAAAGTCTGCTATAAGCTGCACTAGGCAAAAGCAATGTGAGGCATCTGTCCCCCTGACAGAATGATCCATGCAATGTTGAATACCGAGACATCAGTATTAGATCTGTGCCGTTGAAGCCTGTTAACTTGTGAATCTCTGTTCTTAGTTACAGTAGTACCTGGGCAGCAGTGGGCGAGGGCATGGAGTGAAGCAGATAGAAAGAAATAAATATAAAATATAGCAAATCCCCAAATTTCTACAGTTAATATTTTTAGTGAATGCATCACCGTTCCCTTGTGTAGACCGCCTGCTGTTTTCACTCCTCTTTCTCTGCATGCTCGATATTTTTCTCCCATCTGTCCCTTTCTCCTTGGCTGTAATGACTGCCTCCTAAGTCTTCATCTTCTCAGAGTTTGTATTAAAACAACATTATTGCTCCATTCCTCCCCAGCAGTATGTATGTATTTATGTTTCTTTCTCATCTCCCCTTCCCTCTCTGTGCTATGTGTGGATATATATATGTACAGTAATGTGCTATCTCTGATGATCTAATTAGCAATACTGCATACACAAGGTATGAAATAGAGTCCGTATTGATCAATACATATATATGTAAGTATAAAAATTTATATATTTTGGATGCCTAGTACCTTTCACTGTGCAGGATTCCTGTATAGTCTTTTTATGATGTGAAATAACTCATTCTTCATAGTAACTGGCCCTTCAAACTCTGTAAGGAAAGCTTTTTAACAGGAAGACCCAACATTTTCTTCATGAAATTCTGTTAGGATCAGCTGTGCTTTGAACTGCTAAAAACTGTCGTTTTTGTTGAATGTTTTCCTCAGGACATATTTTGAGTATGTTAAAATAGTATCTAGAGAGGCAAAGTAGCAAGAATAGCATCTGCTATACTCGGAGGGTCTGAGAACGTGGATCTGAGCCCATCCGCTGCAGGTCACTGCCTTCCTCTCCTGATGTGCAGGCTGCAATGTGAAAAGCTTGTGGCACAGACTGGAGGCTGGAGGAGGGGAGGAAGCAAGCGTTACTCTTGATGGTTTACTGTTTTCTTTTTGCAGAACCACCCTTGGAAATTTGTACCAAAATCTACCCTAGAACAGATGACTTTGCAATAAAAGCAATCTTTTCCCCCGCCCCCCCTCAATTTAGGAAATAGCAGTGCATTCCCTGTGTGTGCAACTCAGTTCTTGTCACCTCTGCAAATACTTATGATGTAGCCTTTGAATTTTAATATCCTTAGCAAAAAACTGCTTTTTCCCTAAAATACAATTTTCTCTTTTAGTACGTAGGTTAGATGTGAGACTGAGAATTGCTTTCTCTGTGCTACTACATGTGCCCAGTGCATGGCGCAGACTGAGCACGCTAAAGTAATGCACATTGTTGGATATTAAAAACAAACAACTTGCTGCTCAGATTCAGAGGTCTCACAGGACACGGTAATGGATTTAATATATGTGAAAACTGCAACAGGGTAGTAGGGAGCTATTTGTTCTCCATGCCCTTGTTGGATAGGGCAAGAGGTGCTGGCCTTAAAATTGCAGCAAGAAAGATTCAGATTAGGCTTTTAGCAAAACTTTCCAAAGGCAAAGACAGTAAAGGGCTGAGATAATTTGTGTACAGAGACCATACATTTTTGGAATTCTTTCGCAGATTAGATAAATATCTGTCAGGGACCAAGTACTGATTCATGTCTTGAATGTTGCCCTTTCCAATGCAACAAATTAGATCTTTGTGTGTAGAAGAGCTCAGCTGGAGATAAGTGATGTTGAAGTGAGCTGGCATGAAACCAACCCTGCTTGTGCCTAGTACATCCAGACCGGTTGGAGGAAAGATTGGATTTATGCTAAGGCACAATGCAAAACTTCATCCCCTGTACAGCTCCAGAGCTTTATCTAAGCCTGTGCCTGCCGACATGCTTGCATGGAAGTGGTATGACAGCAGGAGAGTCTGGCTTGGACCTGTGCTCGATTGATAATCTTTTTGCATCTTTTAGGGTTAATCTGGCTGCTGTAAATCTGCGTTTTCCAAATTTGGAAAGTTTGGTTGCAAACATTCTTTTCAGTATAATATTTTTTCAATATGTGTTGCCACGTAGCTGGCAAGGTTTGATATTCTGTGGCGTTTGCGCAGCATCCTCCTTCCCAGACAGTTCCACTAGTTCCAGATCATGCTGTTGAGTCCAGTGGGCCGAAGCACAAGGTTTTGCCCAACAACAATGAAGGATGTAAAGTGGCCATGATCCCAGTCATGAGGTGTGCTTTTAAAATAATGAGCAACTGTGATTAGTTTAACTCCTACTTTCTTACTTTGGAATTTATTTGTTGTTGCTTTTCCTTTTTTGTTACTGTCAGTGAGGAAGATGCTTTCTATAAAAGTCTATTTATCTTATTTACTTAAGATGGAGAGGGCAAATGAGTCAGTAAATGTGAAGGACAATTTTATGTCTCCAAGTGTTACCCCAGTATTGGTTTTTTTGAACAAGGTTTACTCTGAGTTTCTAGCTGCAGGTGTAAACTTGCCAGCAGGTCCCACAGCCCACAGTGTGACTGTATGAAGGAAGTAAAATTCCAGTCCAGGTCCGCAGTCTTCCCAATGTGAGTCTGCCTTGTTTTGGGGATGCTCTGGAGCCACCATGGTGCGTTGTGTATGAGTTGAAGTGAAAAGTTTGCTGGAAGACTGACCATGGAAGCAGAAAAATATTCATACATTTATTTGTTTGCTAGCATGCTTTCACTTAACTGAAAAACAACAGCAGGTAAACCAAAAGTTGAGCAGAAAGAGTTGGAAGGTATTTTTATCTATTTTAACAGAAAATCATACATAGGGGGAAGTACAGGAGAAAATAAATGAAAACACAGTTTTGTCAACTGCTCTTTGATGTTTTTCTCTAAGCCCAGCTCTGAGAGTGATGTGGTTACATGAGAACTTGTGGCTTCTTGAAAAATCTGTGTGTCTGGAGGCTGAAAATCCAGAAAGAAAATAGAAAGAATGGCAAATATTGATTTTATAATGTGGGGTTATTTCTAGGCTTGTTTCCATTACATTTCAGGGAACCTGCCCTATTGTATTTTGAGTCCTTGAATAAACTGAGCATTTTGAAAATGTTATAAAAGTGAATGTGCTTGGAAGCAGTGGATTTTGAAGTAGAAAATGTTGGGTTTAAGTCAACAGATGCATTACTGGCAAAGTGTATCGTATATTCCTATTAAGCTCCACAGTGTGGGGAGGGTCCATTTCATCAAGGACTATATATATCTGGGATATAAAGACGGACATACTGAAAGTATCGTGGGGAGGAGAGGCCGAAGATATTCCTTCATTTTTTAAAGCAGACTGGGGCCCCTCTTAGCATGCAGATCCACAGGTTAATTAGAGATTCCACAGGTTAATTAGGAGTTCAGGTTTTAGGCCGTTCATCACAGGTTCCAAAACGACTTTCTTCCTTTCTCCACCCGTCGCGTGCCCAGCCGCTGGGCTAGCCCCTTCGCATGGTAAGTGCATGCACACTTCCCTGTGACAGCCTGCGAAGCTGGGCTGTACGTCCTGGGCAGGATTCCCAGAGCAAGGCCTTTAGCCAGAGGCAGCAGCTCCTGAAACCGCCAGCTGGGGAGAGGCTTGGGGACGTGCTGGAGAGGGTCTGCTAGGCTGCAGTATTTCCCACCCCACTTCTCTGATCGATTCTCTCTCGCAGGCAGGAATGGCATCTCCTGAAAATCCCGAGCAGTTGATCATTGCCCTGGAACCCGAGGCTGCCTCGATCTACTGCCGAAAGCTCCGCCTGCACCAGATGATAGACCTGAGTAGTAGGGCGCCTGTCAATGGTTATAGCCCAAGTGACACTATTGGAACTGGATTTACACAGGGTACTACTTCTATTAACTCACTTCTTTAGATTCTTATGCCTAAGTTTGCTTTGTCCATGAGGGCTGTTTACTTACCATTTCTTGTTGTCTTTGCTCTCTTGAAATGTTTTGGGCTAGCATCAGTTTGCTTTTATAAACTGTTTAGCTATTTACTGTAATTAGACTGGTTTAGGCATTGATCCAGCAGACATGTTTGCACATGCTTGAATTTTAGCACACAGGTAGCTTCATCGCCTTGACTTCATTGGGATGTTGTGGGAGTCTTTAAGTATTTTCACAACAGTAATTTTCTGCCTTAATTAAAATCAGTGCTTCCTGTTGGATCATTTTTTAATTTTAATTTGTTGGAAACAATTATGTGCTCGATTAGCTGCATTATTGAAGCGGTGTTAAATAACTGGGTCTGCAATGAGACTTTTAGTCTGAGGTGCTCCAGAGTTTTGGCAGATGCTTTTTGATGTGATCTTTATGAAATATCATTAATTACTTTCAACACCCAGGGGAACACACAGTACTGGAATATAGGAATGAATTTATCTGCTTGTAGAAGAGCAACTAGATAAGGCAATTCTGATGTATTGACCTGGGATCTGTTGCTAATATCAATGTTTGAAGACTGACTTACAGAGACTGGACCTCAGTCTAAGTCACTTGCCAGAAGATCCTTCGTCACCAAAGATCTTGAGCTTGGTATCCTACCTGAGACCGGAGGAAAACAGGAGAGGAAAAACAGAAGGGAGAGGAAGCAGCAGTAAGGTGTGATTGCTGCATAACGCAGGGATTTCCCGTCTGCGTGAACTGTAACAGCTGCGCCGATGGTGGTGGTAGCGTGCCAGGCTGTCCCAGAAGGCATTTTTCAGAAGAATTTGTATTTTATCACATTTACTAGGTCAAAACAGTACAGGCGAATGGAAGATTAAGCTAGTAAAGCTATTCCTGTGCTTACCAGAGGGTGTTGGGTTTTTTTGTTCGGCAGAGTCACTGCATCGTTCTCTCACATCTGTGCCTCTCCTAGCCAGCACTTGTCAGATGTGTTCAGTGTTGCGGAGGCCCACGCAGAGCACAGGGGACAGTCCATTTTCAGGACACAGTCCCTTCAGGGGCCCCTCACCTTCTGTCCCCCTCATTCGTGTCCTGAACCATTCTAGTTCCATGTGATATTACATGAACTCACTTTCAGGCTACACAGGGATTTGCCTCTGGGAAAATAATAAAAGAAAAGAGTTTCTCTGGTTAAGGTTTTGAAGCTGGCAGATCATGAACTTCTCTAATGGGCTTTTTCTTGGGTGGGGGGTACCATTCTCCTTCTTGACTTTGTATGGTAAAAGCTATTGGGGATGAGAGAGGTTTCATGTCAAAATTAATGAAAACAAAGTTTGGAGTGAATTAATTTGGGGTTAGAATTAAAATTTCATAAAGGCATGGCAGGCACCCAAGGCAAGCGGAGAACAGATTAAGGAGAAAAACCCTTTAAATATAAACAGAGAGAAGCACTCCAAGGACCATATTATTGCTGTGAAGTCAAAACAAGAATTTTACTGTTCATAGTAGCCAGGATAACCTTACCTCAGTCATAGTTAAAGACTGGCTCTTGTGTTCACTTCTAGCCCACAGGAGTGAATGAAAGGACGCACATTGACTTCTGTGGGCCCTGTGTCAGGCCCTTGCTTGGACCTGGTGCTTGTTCTGTTGAATGCTTCATCGTTTAAGCACTCGCTGTGTGCTGCTAAGTCAGCACGGCGAGGCTGATGTGGCTTGCCTGCATCGTAGGGGCTTTGTGGGGAGGATACGGCTGCAAGTGGAGCCCCTGGCCTTTCTCTGATGGTAGGCGCTATAGCAACAAGAAGCAAAAGGCATTCAGTGATTCATAGGCTGGTGTTTTCAGAAAGAATGATTTTTTGTCATACATGACAGGATGCCTCTCTTCTGTAGTGTTTTATAGAAATGCCTGTGAAGGTGAGTGAAGGTTACGCAGGGAGTCATTTTCTGATCATTCAGGTGTAGGAGCTGATTAAGAAGCATAATAGCAAAGGCTCTCACTACTCTTTCTCTTCACAGACTATTCTGCAGCTTTTAACGTCTAACTAGCAATTAAGTTTTGTAAGTTTATTGTTATAATAGTATTGCTAAATTATGTTTAATTTTTAAATGGTGTATATTTAAAATACTATGAGGGGTCAGACTTGGTGATCGCTGTGGCCTTTAGAAGTTATAAATCTGAGAAGCAGTGCTTTTGGCTGCTTGTTTTAAGGCAGACCAATGTCTTGAAAGGCTCAGGAGGCGTCTTTGCCTGAGCACCCAAAACCAGCAGTGACTTTTGGAAATGTGGGGATTGTCTCCCTGGCCTCAGGTCAGGGCTGCCACTGGCTGCGAGCCCTCCTGGTTCTAGACGGTGCTTTAAAACCCTAATATTAAAAAAAAAAAAAAAAAAAAAAAATCAGACCTGACCTGTTCATAGCTTTCATGTTGTGTCATTGGTTTTAATCCAGTTAGTACCAAGGAAGATCAGTGTGGCTGAGGAACATTTCTCCTCCTTTCTAGAAACAGCATCATCCTGTTCCCGATTCTAGTACAAGAATTTTTGTTCATTTGTTTTGTTAAGAAGGGATACATACAGATCTGTCAGCCTGCTTGCGCTTGTTCCTGCAGCTTATGAGATCAACTTCTTCATGCTTTCTTACACTCAGTGTTGTTTTCTCTTCTCAACGACTAGCTAAGGAACACGTCCGTCGTAATCGACAGAGTCGTACCTTTTTGGTGGAAAACGTCATAGGAGAGATCTGGTCTGAACTGGAGGAAGGTAGTGTCCTTTCTTGAATAGACTTTGCTCTCACTGGTTCTATATTGCAGGCAAACATTGTGTTTCCACAAATGTGCTGTGCACTGCATCGTTCTCACAGTGATTATGAATAGGAAAAGAAAAAAATACAAGTTCATGTGTTGCTTTTAGTTACTAAAGCTGAACTTCTATTCTGTATGCTCTAGAAAAATACTGAGGAGATGGTAGAAAGGAATCCAGGTGTTAAAATGCAACCAGAATATTTTCCTCAGAATAGGCCTTGTAAATATGGCATTGTATTCATTTGGTAACCTACTAGGTACACTAGCAGCATGAGCAATTCTACTAAACCACTTCTCATCTGTGCTAAATCAATAGCTTTTGACATATGATTTTCATATTTATTGTCAATCATTATATCATAATTACTAAAAAAGATCAGGTCTTCAGCATAGACATTCATGACTTTCTGTAAGTCATTATCTGTCATGGTGATAATGCCCCTGCAAAGTTTTCATTGCAATACACTGTTGTGGTAACCTTAATGTAAATACCATTTGCCTGTTCCTTTGGCAAACTAGGTGACCGTTACATCGTTGTTGACAGTGGAGGTGGCACAGTGGATATGACTGTCCATCAGATAAGGCTCCCTGAAGGACATCTTAAGGAGCTATACAAGGCAACAGGTAATGTCACTTCCACTGCTTGCTTTATTTATGTAATATTTTTACTTGTCAGTGAAGGAAACGTATGCTTCTGTTATTCACTACATGTCACTAACAGTTCTTCCTGAAATATAACATCAGCATTCAAAATCAGTATAACCTAGGTGCCAGTCAGCAGGCAAGGGTAAATCACTTAATGCTTTGGGATGGTAAACCTCATGTTAGAAGGGTAAGGAAATTCCATCTTCTCTGTTACTCCCAATCAGGCCATGACCTCCTGCCATGGTCCTGGTCTGAATTCTGCTAGCAGAGTCATCATCTTCCTGTCCTTTGAGAGGTCACCTGTGTATTGCTGCTCTGTCCGGGCATTCAGAGGCGTACTGTGGAGATATGAATAGCTGAGAGTTGCAAGGATCTTGTTGTGAAGCGACTGTTGGCAGAACAGAAGTTTCCCTGGATTTAAGGGGAAGCTTATATGTTCAAGTAATTTCACAGACAGTCTAACAAGGAGGGTCTACAGTCGCCTGGGAAAAATGCACAATGATTGGTCTGCAGCAAAGATATGATTGATATTCCCTTCCTGAACTCCAGATTGCCTTTGACTTTGTCCTGTGTCTAAGCTGTTACCCACATGAGACAGCCTATTGTTTGTTCCTGCGTCTCCATACTGAGTTAGTCTTCATCTGTATGGTTCATCACTGAGCATTCTCAGTCTTGGTGGCTGTAAGACGACCTCAGGAAACAACCTCATAAGAGCAAACAGGACACTGTACATCAAGCGTGCCTACTACTGAATATGAGTCCAGCTCACACCTTCTCACATGTTGATAAGGAGACAGTTTCCTTTGCTTCTAATGAAAATGTTTCTGTTTTATAGTGGTAATGTTACAGTGGCTATGATGGTATAGGAGTAAAAGTGAAGCAAAGGTAAGATTATGTTCTGTATTAGACCAACTGTTATATTTAGAAAAGATAGCTTTTTCTTTAGAGCTTCTCCTGTGGCAGTCCTAGTAGTGTCAATCTGATGTGTAGTCAACTTGAAATCTGGTAAGCAGTTCAGAATATTAAAGCTGTGTTTTGTTTGTAATACAGGTGGACCATATGGTTCTTTAGGTGTGGACTATGAATTTGAAAAGCTCCTGTGTAAAATATTTGGAGAAGATTTTATTGAGCAATTTAAAATCAAGCGTCCTGCTGCCTGGGTAGATCTGATGATAGCGTTTGAGTCCCGTAAACGGGCAGCAGCTCCAGACAGGACCAATCCACTAAACATCACTCTGCCTTTCTCCTTCATTGACTATTACAAGAAGTTTCGAGGTCACAGTGTAGAACATGCCTTGAGGAAAAGCAAGTGAGTAGATGATTTAACCCACATGGATGCAGAATTAACTACTGGTAGCAAAGACAGATACTTGAAATACCCTAATTATATGTAGACTGAAAGAATAATGTAAAAATGTATTATAAGCATGAGAAAGTAGGGTTGCCTGAAGTGCAGTTTCCAGAGTGAAAAGTTCTGATCAATCTCTTGCAAGAGCATTTCTGTATGAGACTTGCACTCTCCTGGTGTTGCTTTCTATGGCTTTCTTTAGACCACCACTGCATCGCTTTCCTGAATTTGACCATATATTTTGAGTCTCTTACATGTTAATTAGGAAGGACAGATCAAGTACAGAAATTGATGTCTAAAAGTTAGTTACCTAGAACCTTAATTTTTAGAGGCCTGGGCCCTGGAACAAGCCCAAGATCTTGCGTGAGATGTGTAAGGTGTATCTGTGACGTGAGGAAAGTTACAAACAATACAAGATCACCGATGAAAATATACACTATTGCACTGAGCTCTGCGAGAGGAAAGCTGCCTTCTTTTGAAGTGATGGCAGGCTTTCTTTTCTCCTAGATGTTAAGAGTTAGAGCATTTGCTGAGTAGATGGGGAGACATAATTCCCTGCACCTGCAATTCAAGAAAGCACCCTAAATGACAAGGTCACGGGCTGCTACCTAAAAGGAAGGGAGGAGAAGGTAGAAGGGGGCATTTTGCATCTTTGGAAGTTATATACTACGGGAGACCTGGAGATTAATGGCATCAAAGGGAACGAACAAAAGAGCCTGTGAATCTGGGGCAGAATGCTTCAGACCTGAGAGCAGATGACATGATATTTAGTACCTGTATCTTGGCTTCTTTCTGCCTCTTTTTTAATCCAGCGAATATTGAATGTAGTATGCAGGCTGAAACTCCTGCATCTCTTCCTGAAGTTATTGGTAAATGTGCTTTAAGCCTAAATGACTTGGAATCCAGCTCGGAGTCACTTCCTAAATAAGACAGCTCCTGAAATAATTCAAAATTTCTGGAAATAGTCCCCCTCGCAAGACCATCTCCCTATTAATAGTTTTAATGGTGAATCTTAGAGGGAATGCTAAATGTTCCCTTCAAATAAAATGAAATTAATTGGATAACGGGATAGAAAGAGTATAAAGGTGACATGTAATGTGCATGAATGAAAAGGTGATTGCTGAGCTATATGGATGTGCATCAGTGATGGAATAATATAATGCCTGTATTCACTTAACAAGTGTAACGCTTCATTAAAAATGCTGTGCTCCCTTCTGCCTCCTGAGGCTTCCCATACTTGCTTGTTCTCCTTGTGTGTTTCCAGTGGCTTTGGCCTGCTACTGCTATAATCTAAATGTTGCCCTTCTGGAGATGAATCAGTGCTGTTTCAGATGAGCGAGCACTGGATTGACTGCCAGCTGTTTCAGGAAGCAGCTGAGCATTGGTAATGCGACAGAAGGCAATCAGGCAAAGAAAACAGCAATTAGACAAGCAAAAATAACAATTCTCCCTTGAAATTTTACATTGCTGCAGTTGGTATGGGGCTAGGGTGAGGCGAGGTTCGTTCTTCAAAGCAAAATGCATGCAGATTCTGTAAATATATCCATTTATTTATTTAGTGTGTCTTGTGAGTGCTTGGCTGTTTCTTACAGCTCAGCTGTAATGTTTTAATGTCCTTTCTAACTGTTCTTTTCCAGCGTGGACTTTGTGAAGTGGTCCTCCCAGGGAATGCTGAGGATGAGCCCGGATGCAATGAATGCTCTTTTCAAACCTACCATTGACCAGATTGTTCAGCACCTCAGTACGTATCTGTGTGTAATTCCACTTTCCGGCTGAGCTGAAACTGAAGATTCACTTACCTGTTTCAATCCAGTAACTGGATTTAAAGTCAAAACAACCCCCCTAGCATGCGCCAGATGTGGGCAAGGAATTTAGTTCTGAAACTTGTAGTTCTCTACAATGTAGTTAAGAAAATAATAAAAGTAAAGGGCATCACATATTGAGTGTGATTTAGTCCTGTTACTGTCTGAGCTTCAATTACTCTGTACTCCCAGGGCTGCAAGCATTCAGAAGGCTGAAATGCATTGACTAACCCAGATCCTGCTTTTCTTTTCCCTATTTCAGGCAACAACTAAATAATGCCAGCAACGTAACTGGTTTCTGATTATTCCTATTATTAAGACCTCTAGTTCATTTCTGCTCAGTGGAAGGACTTAGAAAGTCACATTTGTTCATGACCATCCAAATTACTAACATCTCTAAATCACAAATAATAAATGATGCATCATGGTAAAAGTACTTGCAGGCATGGCTTAAGCAGCACTGAATTTATTTATCCAGTAATGGGAAGTGACATTGGCTTATTGGAAAATTTATTATTTAAAGTTTTCCTGGTGAAAGATTGGGTTTCTATCAAGTAGAGTATAATATATGTACTGAGAAAAGTATTGCTGTTCTACACATTACAAAGCACTAATTGAATTCTATTTGGAGTGGAATATCCAGCTTTACTTGTTATATGTGAGGAATTACTAGATAAATTTTGAGAGGTCACAACTTAGCTAGTGCAGAACAGCTTGAATGTGAGCAGAGAGGTAGAGGGCCAGAATTACAGTAGTTGTGACAGATACCTCAGTCATGCTGCCTCTGTTATTTGAACTAAGGGTGAGCCTACAACTGAACTGTATGATTTTCTTGAAAGTAGGGAATGTGGGCTTAAGCTAAGAAGGAACATCTGTAAAAATGTAAGGAGGTGTTATTTTGCAGATGGTACATATTGTGGTAAAGATGTTAGGGTCAGAAATAATAACTGAATTTAAAATGGGGTGACTTACCTGGCATGTAGTAAAGGGTGTGCGAATCAGTTAGGTTTGGGAATATGTCACTGATACATGAAGAGGCAAGATGATGTCTGTTTCCCTACCTTCCATAATGTGACTGCCAGGATTTCTTTGCAAGAAATCCGTGTCTGCCTTTACTGGTAGAAGCTAAATAAAAATTCTGGTTTAAGTGCCACTTTAGAAATATTGCATGCTTTGAGGTAAGTTTCCATTCACAGTGAAATAAAGTATAGAATAGACTGCAGACGTGGAACTAGGGCACGCTGGGAGTGGCAACACAGGCATAGAAGTGGCAGTTTCAGATCTTGTGCATGTGTGTGGGACATTCAGTGCACTTGGACATTAGGAGTTTCACCTGCATTGCCTTGTCACAGTGGATTTTCCCCTATTGAATGGGCTCTGTTTCTGTTTAGGTGATGTGTTTGATAAGCCAGAAGTGACCAACGTCAAGTTTCTGTTCCTGGTGGGTGGCTTCGCTGAATCCCCGTTACTCCAACAAGCTGTCCAGAGTGCTTTTGGTTCAAGATGTCGAGTCATCATTCCTCAGGATGTGGGGCTCACCATCCTCAAAGGAGCTGTTCTCTTTGGTCTAGACCCTGCTGTCATCAAAGTGCGGCGTTCACCTCTCACCTACGGTGTGGGTGTGCTCAATCGGTTTGTGGAAGGGAAGCATCCACCAGAGAAGCTCCTAATCAAAGACGGCACACGCTGGTGCACTGATGTCTTTGACAAATTTATCTCAGCCGACCAATCTGTAGCCCTTGGAGAAACTGTGACACGCAGTTACACACCTGCCAAACCTTCTCAGTTAGTAATAGTGATCAATATCTATAGCTCAGAACAAGATAATGTCAGCTTCATCACCGAATCTGGAGTGAAAAAGTGTGGCACCCTTCGCTTGGATCTCACAGGAACTGATGCTTCAGTGCCAAACCGGCGAGAGATCAAAACGCTTATGCAGTTTGGGGACACTGAAATCAAAGCCATGGCCATTGATGTTGCCACCTCTAAAAGTGTCAAAGTTGGTATTGATTTCTTAAACTACTAACAGCCCATTTTCCCCACCACAGCCTGTTTGTGAGACTGATCTTCCACTATTCCATTTTTTGACTTCCATGTATCATGTAATCAACTTGAATTTCAGCAGGCTATATGAGAACAGCTAGGAAGGTGGGATATGTCGTGTTTGTGCCCTTTGATGACCAAAGACTGGATTTTGAAAGAACCTTAAAAAGTTTAGGGAGCAAAAGTTACAGAGGTAATGAAAGTTCCCAACTTACTCAAGCATGCTTAAAGATCTACCCTTATTAAGTAAATACTGATTATTGTTGGCTCCTGAAGATTAGTTAAAAATATATAAAATTGTAATCTCTCTGCCTTGTTCTTCCTCTTCCTCCCAAGAAAAACTCACTAACCCATGTGGTTGTTGTAGGAGGCGTATCTGTTTAAACAGCACCATCCTCTGGCAATGGGAACAAATTAGCGGTCTATAGTATTCTTTTGTTCTTTTGATTTTTGCCCTGTGCTTTCAAAATTTTAAGTGCTGAAAATCAATGACTTAAAGAAATGGGAACTGAGTTTCTAGAATTCTGAGATCCCACTGAAAAGAAAATCCTCAGACACCCTTAAAATTAAATTTAGGAAAAAAATATATGTATAAAAGGAGCCTAATACTGATTGCTCCAGGTTGAAAACAAGGCCTTTATTGTCAAAGCTCTCAGAACTAGCTGCTGGATTGAATAGCTAGCATTACCTTCATTATATTTTGGAAAGTTATTAAGAACAAACCTATTTCCCTTTTTGGGTCTTCTAAACTTATTTTTATTAGTTTCCTTTGGAAATCATAGAATTACAGAATAGCTGAGGTTGGAGGTGACATCCATTGACTGTCTGTCTCTGAGCTTGAAGCAGTGTCAGCTAGAGCAGGATACTCTGTCCAGTTTTGAGTATCTCCAAAGATGGAGACGCCTAAACTTGTCTGGGCAACCTCTTCCAGTGTTTGAGAACCCTCACTGCAAAACAGTTTTTTCTTGAGTTTCAATTTGTGACCATTGCCTCTTGTTTCTTCACTGGATACCTCTGAGAATGCTGGCTCCATCTTCTTTACTGTCTTCTGTCAGGCATTTATACGCATTCCTAGCATCCCTTGAGCCTTCTCGAGTCTAAGCAGTCTTAGCTCTCTCAGCCTCTCCTCACATGACGGGTACTCCAGTCGCTTAATCATCTTCATGACCCTTTGCTGGACTCAGGCCAGCATGTCCATGTCTCTCTTGTACTGAGAAGCACAGAACTGTACCCGGCACTCCAGATGCGGTCTTACCAGGGCTGAATAAAGGGGAATAATCACTTGCCTTGACCTGCTGGCAGCTCTCTTCCTAATGCACCCCCAGAGGCTATTGGCATTCTTTGTTGCAAGGCCACATTGCTGCCTCATACTCAACTTTGTCTCTACTGAGACCCCGAGGTCTTTCTCTGCCAAGCTGCTTCCCAGCCCGCTGGCCCGCAGCACGTGCTGGTGCATGGGGTTGTTCCTCCCCAGGTTCAGGACTTTGCACTTCCCTTTGAACTTTGAGGTGCCTGTCTGCACGTGTCTCTAGCCCTTTGAGGTCCCTCTGACCCATCTGGTTTATCAGGCACTTCTCCAAGTGATTATATGTCTTTTCTTGTTAATCCCTTGTGTTAAGATTTGGAAGTACAATTAGATGATGGCTCTCCAGGAAGATTTAAACAACTTAAAAGAGAGAAAATGTCCCAGATCAAATACTTTCAGTAGCATACATTTTAATTGAGTAAAACGTATTTCTGGGTTGAGTTGAATGGCCAGTAAAGTGGAAGGCAGAAGCGAAGAGAATGAAACTGCAAATAGCATTTAGTAAAGCATTCCTTACATGGCTACGAGCACACGTCTCTAATGCAGGTGAAATGCAATGATGGTCATGGTAGCATCTTGTTTCCCAAATAGTAACTTTCTGAAAATGTTTTCTTAAGCACGTTCACCTAAAAAAAATTCTTCTGCAATGGGAACGGTTTTTATTTTGCAAAATGCTACAGGTGGATAACTTCTGAAACCTACAATCTATATCTGCCATGAACTGACAGGCTCAGATTCAAATCCAAACCCCACTCCAAGTTGGCAGACTGATACTAACCTGTAGAATCACCGTAAAATTCAGAGCATTTATACAGAGCTGCCTGATTACCTGCTGGAATTCATTACATTTTTTAAACTTTGCAATGTTAATTGTTAAACTAAACCGTCATCTCTAATAAGTTGAGCATGAGTTAAATCCATTACTGACACTTCTGGGAAATGAGAGCTTTATCAATTATTTCACTAATTTGTGTTCCAGTCCTGCACTTAAGCTTTCTGTGTTTAGCCTGGAGTTTTACCACAGTAAAGAGCTGCAGAACTGGTCTACTGCATTTTACCATTGAGTTTTCTGTGTCTCCTGCAGAATTCCCTAGTTGAATGTGAAATCTGTCCCTGCATTCAGCTTTAAAAAAAAAAAAAAAAAAAAAAAAAAAAAGGACTATGGAGAGTGCTAGTCACAGTATCCGGCTGGATACTTTCTATAATTACAAAGTGTGCTTGCTAGCATTCAGTTTCCTGCTGCCTGCAAAACGCTTTAAAAGCTAAATACTGGGATTTTTTTGTGTGTTGCTTTCCATGGTTTACAAACAAGAGAAAGTTTAAGATGAGTTATGAACAATATAATTTTATGTATATACAATATTTAAATATTGTACAGACTCTTTCTTTCTACAGTGCTATTTTCTTGTATAAAAATGCTCTTTGCCTCTGTTGATTTCATTCAGCTGTTAATTTTAAATAACATAGTTTCTCAATCAGCTTCTGTAATTACAGGCTTTTAAAGATGGTAAGATATGAAATGTAAAAGGCTGATCTTATAATAATAGGAAGGAAGTGTTGGTGTGTCAGAGAATACAGCATTCTTCCTGCAATGCAAGTCGTACCAGTTAAGCATATTGCACAGATGCACTAGTATGTTGCTGGGATTTTAATTTCTTTGTTTCAGATGGTGACCATTCCATCCCCAGCAGTTCGTCATAATAATGGATGAATCCTCCTGTAAAACCAAGTTAAAAATTAGATAGTATGATCTGGATATACAGCTTCTTCACTAGGTTTTGGGGGTTTATTAAGGATCTTCTCTAGTTCAAAAAAACCCCAACAAAACAAACACAAAACTACCTTCCAAAGACAGGCAATGCTGATTTATTGTTGCTGCAGGTAAGACCCAGTCTGTCTACCGCTACCATCTACCCAAAGTCAAAAGTCTTATAGAAAAGTAGGCTTTGGTGTCTTTGTATCCTATGTTAAACTGATTTGGTCCAATTCTGCACAGATTTGTTTCCGGTGGCCTTAGGTTAACACAGAATTTGGTCTAATTAATGGCTGCAACCACACCCCCCCCACCCCTGAAGAGGAGGCAAACCACAAGATCAAGTGGCCCGTGATTTTTGTGCTGTTCCCAGCCTGTCTGCAGGGAATGCTAAGGGCAGTTTCTGCAGCTCTTCTGAAGCATAGTTTCCTGCACAGTAGCGATTCTTTGCCCTTTCTTACTCACCCTTGGTAAGATTCCATCTGGATCCAAGCAGGGGGTTGTTGCTGAAATGACTCCACACTTACTGTACAATGTGGTTTGCATATTTTTTTGCACTTCCTCAGTCAGTCTGATGAGAGCACTGTCAAGCTGATCTTTGCAGAGCACTGAACCACTGAACAAACTCCCAGCTGCCCTCGTTGCCCTCTTTAAATACAAGAATGGAGAATTAGCTTGTCTCTCTAAGGAATTAGAATTGTAAGTAGAATATTATGCTGTGGTCCGTAGTCTATAGCCCTGTTAAACAACGTTGTAAGTGGCATGTGGATGCCCATTTTGATAACGGATGTTAGGCTGTAAAATTAACATGAAATTTATTAGGAAACGAGTCATTTTTAGAATAGTAGTTCTGATGCTTTTGCAGGAGATTCCCTGCAGAGCATTTTTTGAAGGGGTTTCAGATGACATTGTGCAACTTAATGTTGAAAAGACAAGGCCTGCTGTCCTTGGGGAAAGCAGAAGGCCTTGGCAGAAATTTTGCTCTAAGCAGCGACTTGCAAGTTTGGGTCCAAGTTACTTAACTCTAGGCTGAAAGTTAGCAGCTAATTGTGATAGAACGATTAATTGTGCTAGAATATGATAAATGTGCAGTGATGGTTAGGACAGTTTACATTGGTATGAATATACCAATATTTATATACAGGAGTGTTAATGCATTATTATGAGACGGCTAATTATATATTGCAGAGATTTAATCGCCAAGATAAGCTGCATATTTATGATATGAAGTGGCTTAAGCGGATGAATAGTATAAAAGTTGTTGGGCATAACGTCACAGTACTCACCTGCTTGAAATAGTCTTAAACTATATTATAAAACCAAACATTGTGGTCTTGTTCACCTCTGTGCAAGATAAATTCAGATTTCACTGATGTTTGGAGCTGTTCACAACTTGTCTGGATTGTATCTTGAGTGTTCTTGTGTCGTCAACCATGTCAAATAAAATACAGTAAAACTAATTTTTCTTTTTGGGTGTTACTATTTTTCTGAAAAATACTATAAAAAGAAACCTCATTTATTTTGAAAGTAAGAAAGGCCAAGTGGTTATACTTGCGTTTGGATACTCCTTCATATGTGTAACTGAGCAAAAGTGACATCGACCGTATGTGCTGCTTATCAGATTTCTTCAATCTTTCAGATGTGAGGACACCTGGAGTCTTTGCCAAGGGCTTGCAGGCCCTGTGCCGCACGCAACTCTTTGGCAAGAGGCTGCTGCATGTTTAGTTCGCTTGTGTGTTTTCTAGGGGGACTCCATATGTGCCTGAGGTAGAAGTCCACCACGGGGGATTACTCAACGTCCACCAAAGTTGGTGTGGCGCGGAGTAGGGTGTTGGTTGGAATTAAGACAGAAAGACTTTGGGCCCCACCAAAAGCAGAAAAACTTTGGGCACTGCGAAGAGCAGATGAGGTATTTTCTGTAATG